ACACAGCCCGCGCAGAGCCCTCCACAGCCGCACACGAGGACAGATTCACCAGTGCGGCTCACGCTGCGGCCAGAGCTGCTGGGCCACCCCTTCCCCTCTCCCCAGCTCTGAAGGAGAGAAAGCCCCAGGGCAGAGGAGACATGGCAATGCAGCCACGGCCAGCCCTCTGCCATGGGGTTTTGCCCACCCATCTCCTTCCCTGTGCAGCAGGATTAACCTCAGACCCTCAGACCGCTGCCGGGGACCCTGCGGGCAGTTACCATAGGAGCTGGCATTGAGCTGCAGGCAGAGGGGGGAGTCACAGCAGTCCAGCACACACTGTTGCATGCTCACAGTGCTGTTGATCCTGCACATCTCTGTGCCGCACACGTTGCTGCACCTGGCTGTATAGTTCGTGCTGGAGAAACGATAAAGCTGCAATAGCAGAGCCAAAGGAAAAAATGGCAGGAGTATGAAGACATGCCATTACAAAGGGGGGGGGGGGGGGGAGAGAGAGAGAGAACAGGAGACTGACACAGACTTAATAGAGTACTGTGGATTCCCGATATAAAGAAAGGGAAAACAGACTTTCCCTATCACAGCCCCCCTGCGCCACCATCTCAGCAAGCTCCGTACCTCACAGTAAGTCTCATTATGGCAGGTCACCGTTTTGTTGGCATGGGCTTCATCCTGGTAGCACCTCTCCCCAGAGCACTGAAAGCTCTGGCAGGTGAGCTGGAGAAAGAACACACGAGGGTATCACCATGCAGCAAAGCCTCCTCGCACACCATGGTGCTGTCCCCAACCAGGACCTCACTGCCTGGAAGAGCTGCCTCTGCACACCCGCCCACCATGCCCGAGGTGCTCCCCTTCTACCCCAGGAGATGCCCTCATGGGACTCCAGCTCCCGCGAGAGACCAGTCAGGCTAGAGACCCTGTCTGTGGGGCTGTAACAGCCCAGCCAACGGCCCTCTTTCCTTTCCTTCCCGGTGTTTCTTCTGTACCGTTCACAGAGGCGTTGGCGGCCACCGAGGCGTTGGCGGCCACCGAGG